ACAGGGCGCCCATTCTCCCGGACACGCGCCAGGCGCCCCCGGCACAGGGCGCCCATTCTCCCGGACACGCGCCAGGCGCCCCCGGCACAGGGCGCCCATTCTCCCGGACACGCGCCAGGCGCCCCCGATACAGGGCGCCCATTCTCCCGGACACGCGGACACGCGCCAGGCGCCCCTGCGCCCATTCTCCCGGACACGCGCCAGGCGCCCCTGCGCCCATTCTCCCGGACACGTGCCAGGCGCCCCCGGCACAGGGCGCCCATTCTCCCGGACACGCGCCAGGCGTCCATTCTCCCGGACACGCGCCAGGCGCCCCTGCGCCCATTCTCCCGGACACGCAGGAGGAGCCCCCGGCACAGCGCGCCCAGAGGGACACGAGGGCTCCGCACTACAGCTCACAGGGTCCCGTGGGCAAATATTTCTCTCACCAATCACTGGCCTGGAGAGCAGAGATCCCCCTGCCTGAGGAACCTCCCTCCCTGCCCCTCTCTCAGCAGGGCAGGCCCAGTCCCGTGCTGCCAGCTCTCCTGAGCATACTGCAGCTCCAGGGCGTGATGCTCCTCGCCAAGGGCCCTGCTGCAGAGGACTGGCGGGGGCTCGCTGTGCTCAGAACCCCACACTTCCTTTTCAAGTCTCCCTATTCCTAAGCCCATCTCCTGCCTTGGGGCCTGAGGTGACCTGTGGCACCTGGAGAGGGTGGGACTTGTATACCTCATGCGGCCTTCTGTCCCGCTGTCTCCTCTTCTTCTTCTTCTTGATGGACGGGGTCGACACCATCTTCCTGCTGGTCCTGATGCTCTGGCTCCTGGATGGTTTCTTCACCAGATGCCGCCTCACACCAGGGTTATCTTCAAAGCGGTGGCCTGGAGACGGAGCAAGGAAACACTCAGGACTCGCATTCCCATTACAGCGCTAAGCAGACACGCCCGGGAAGCCTTTAGCCCCAGGGTTTGGCTATTCCTAGCTCGCCTGCTGGGGTTTTGCTTTCCAGGCTGCACTCTGCAAGAGCATGCATTTGTCGATTAAACTCCGAGGGCGAGTCTGTAACTTTAAAAACAAGTGGCTCTGTGGCCCCTTAGAAACTAACCAAAAGAGACAGAATCATGAGATTTGTGGGCAAAAGCCACTTCCTCAGGTGAGCCGGAGTGGAACTAACAGAAACCAAGAGACAGACATAACAGCAGTAGGGACGTGAGCGACTAGTCGAGTGACTACTCGCTTCCCCCCCATCCCCGCTGCCTCTGGAGCACAGGCAGCAAGGGGGGGAAGCAGGAGCCGGTGCTGGGGGGAGCCAGCTTGAATGACGGTTCCCTGCAGCACCGTTTCCATGCTGTGGGGAGGCAGGAGCAGAGGCAGAGGCAGAGGCAGAGGCGCAGCGGTCCGGGACCCAGACCCATCCCCACTGCGGTGAGCCAGGCTGCCTGCACGTCATGACCTGCCTCTTAGCACCCCTAAACAGCAGCAGCAGTACCCGCCCATCGTGGGCCCGCTGGGTTCTCCCATTTCCACGTAGGAGGGCAGTGACCAAATCCCACAAGCACCTCCCAGGAGAAAACGACTGTGGCCCTTCTGGGCAGCTCCCACCCCACAGGGAGCCGGAGTGCACTGCTCCGATCTGACCCGAGGGAGAAGCGCCTTTGAATGCCCCGGGGCTGCCAGGCACTGCCAGCGAGTCCAGAACCTGCCTCGCGGGGACAGGGCCTTGGGCTGAGCAGGAAGGCCTGAATGGGAGTATTTCTGTGCTTCAGTTCAACGTTTCCAGAGGCAAACCTGGCCCAGGAAAGGGGCTCTGCCGAGTCTGTAGCACGGTGCGAACGCAGCCGGACGGCTCTGCTGGGAGAGCCCGAGCACCAGGTTGCGTGTCCGTGCCGAGCTTGGGATGCGTGGGGCTGTGTCTGGCGGCGTTCTACAGGCTGGGCGCTCAGCCACTGCCCAGGGACACGAGGGCGCCTACGGCTGCAGAACACACTGGATGGCACGTTGCGTTCCATGGCCGTGCAGTGCACGGCTGCAGTGTAACAGTGCAAACATCCAGTGCACAAGTAACGACTTCCGAGGGATCAGTCCTGCAGCTCTCCTGATCTTTTCCAGTTCTTGGCTGCAGCATCCAGCTGGCTGCCACCGAGCTGTGACCCGACCCCAGCCCTGGAGCAGGCCAGCTCCCATGCAAGAGGCCTGAATGCGGCTGCCCTTACGGCATTGCTGCCTGGGACAGCGGCTTGGTGTGGACGGAGGGAAGGGGTATTCTCCATCCAGACGAAGGGCAGCATCTGCCCTTGGCCTCAAGGGCTTTGACATTCAGAACAGGAAAAGCACCAGGCTCACAGGAAAGCAATTCCCCCAGCTCGGGGTACTATGCCCCATACCCACAGGCATGGGGAGAAGGGCTCCAGCCCTGGCCAGACCATAGCTTGGAATCCAGGTCAGCCCATTAGACTAGATCCATACAGAGCCTGCGGGGATTTTCCCCACTGGCTGTGCAGCTGATGGGAGTCCTGTGACAGCTGGACTCCTCCGCATTCCATTACGGGAACGTCAATGGAAGCCGATAACTGCCCATCGACCTGCCACTGGTGTGCCGGGAGCGGCGGCGTGCGAAGGACACGTGTTCTCTCTGCATGCGTGTGCGTGCACACAGATTTCACTGTACCTTGTGCGTGGCTGTGCGTTAGGAACGGGGTGTGATGCGAATGCACGTGAGAACAGGCCTGGGGCTGGTATGTGGGCACACTGCACGTGCAAAGCGGGGACCCCCCTTGTAGTACTATGCTCACGAGGCACACGCCAGACTGACGGGATGTACAACTTTCTACCCTCTCGCCTTGGCTGCGTCCACGGGCAGCGATCGACCCGGGGCGGAGTGTGATGCATCGATCGCCGAGCTCTCAGCGCTGACTTCCGTGCTCCGCCGCAATGAGCCGTGCAAGGGGCTATGCGGTAGTGAGCGGATCGAAGTACATCCACCCCCCCGCCCCTCGTTCCCGGCCCTGCGGCTGTGCCAGGAGATCAAGTGCCCCCGGTAGCGTGGACCAACCCCGACTCCCAACACGCCTGGGACACGTTATCGAGCCCCAGGCTACAGGCAGCAATGGGGGCCCAGAGAGCCCAACGGAAACCCCCAGTCCAACAGCAGAGGCAGCACCGCCCGAGGAAAGCCCAGCCCCCATGCTGGAAGAGCCGTGGCAAGGCTGGAGACAAGGCCTCTCATTAGCCCGCTCGTGGCCTCTTGTGGTCAGTGAATACGAGGGGCAGGCAATGGAGCTTGGCAGGCCCCGCACGAGGGTGCCCAGGGCGGCAGCAGGAGTCGGCCTGCCCTCCCACGTTCACCACGTTGACAGGCTCCAGCCTGGCCTGGTGG